GAGAGAGAAAGAGAGAGAGAGAGAGAGAGAGAGAGAGAGACTAATCGTCGCTTCTGTTGGGGAAACAGGGATTACATGGGTGTTCTGCCCTGGTCACGCCGGGGTGCACGGAAATGAGCATGCTGATGAACTTACCGGCAAAGCAGCACCCAATGGCTAATCATGCTCGACCCACCAATGGTGATCGCCAGCTGTAAGGAGAGCCTTCACGACCAAGAGGAGACAGACTCCCACACACTCAGCGCAATAAAAGAAAAGTGTGTCCGGGGCTCAGGGAAAAAAGTTTGCTCCGAGGAGTGGTCAGGCAGGTCTCAAACCAGCTCCTCACGGAGACAATTAGCAGGAAGACTCTGTGGTGGACGCTGGAAAGGAGAGATGAGCAGCTATGGATATGTGCCACCTGCTATGATTGTAGCTCTGGATCCAAGTTATCCAAGTGGGAGCTCTGAATCCGAGTTATCCAAGTTGGTTGGGGGTTTTTTTGTTTGTTTTGTTTGGGGGTTGTTGTTTTTTTTTGGGGGGGGGGGAGTTGGCAGTTTTGTAATCAAAATTTTAATAGTTTCTGATCTACTGCAGAATAGCTCTAGAGTCATGAAGAGCAGCCCCACCTTCTGGTTTTATGTCCCTTCATCATCAACCAACAGTTTCTAGATAATATGTTTGCAACGTACTAAAAGATTATTGTGATATTATAATAAGTTTTCTGTCAGTGTAAAAAATATTGACAGTATCACTCTAATTTGTGATCAATTTTTTTGTCCGAGTTTGGTATATGACATTAAAAGAGCAGTTACAAGAAAAGTATGAGACAAACGAAAGTAAATCTTTAGTACGTGACAGGTTGTGCGTTCAGAAATACTGTGTGAAAATGTCGACGCTGTATCAATTCAATCTTTTTTCAGAATCCCTGCCTAGAATTTGCTCGAATTTTGGTCTGTCGAACCCATTGCATGGAAAGAATTCAGAAAATTGACAGTGAAATCATATAGGGATAGTGTGTTTCTGTTTCTTGACCCATATTGGTTATTGGGAATCCCAGTATACTTAATTTAGAGCCCAAACAAAAATATTCACTTCAGCTGTACCTAGTGTCCCTTAAGATTTCTTTGAACGAACTTTTTTGCTGGTCAGCTAGTAGAAAGTGAGCACCAGACTTATAATTTACCTCTCCTCCCGACTTGAGCTGCGCCCTGGCCTCATCTTTAGGCACCACGGGTACAAAAGGTCGCCAGTTAAAGTCGTGGACATCCTCCATGGACAGGTCGTCTCCGGAGTCATCTTTCTCCTGTACCTCATCACTGCTCTCTGGGGGACAAGATGGGGGGAGGGGGATTTTTGATGTGTAAGTCACCTATTTTCTGGGACAAGACAAGTTGTTATTTGTTGTTTTCAGTTGTTATTTGTTGTTATCAGTTGTTATCAATTGTTGTCCTTAAAAGCGACCTTACGTAAGTGACTGCTTTCAGAGGCAAGACACACAATGAATGTTAAATTATAAAATACTCCGACTTATGTTGCCATCATGGGAACGTTTTATTTTAGTTAGTAGAGGTTTTACGGCGCTCGCAACTGCATAAGGTCATATGAGAGCCAGAAGATTAGAGGTGTTACAAGAGAGTAACAAGCATGAAACAGAAGATGGTGAGATAAGGACGATATATGTTTGATAGGAAAGAAGAAGCAAACCTCACCAGAGCACCCACCAACCACTCACAAGCTTTATTTGTAGCAGGGACATAATTGGTCGCTTTTAAGGACAAGCGGGCTAACCCAGATTTCGGGGGTTTCCAGAAATCTTGACCTGCACCAAAATTAGGCATTTCCCTACCCATAGGAGAAGTCTGGTTTCATTGGTGAGTATATTTATTTGGTTATAGAGAAAACTTGTCTTCTTAAAGAAACTGAACATGGGGCAAAAACTTTATCTTCGATTTTCTCAAAACAGCATTTTTCGGGATAGCCCCCTTGTGCTTAAAAGCGACCATTTGTAGTAGGGACATAATTAGCACTCACAATAAAGCGTCTATTTTTTCTACTGTTATTTCCCTTTACCTTCCGAGACAAATCTACTGCCGTAATCCTTCTCGTTCTCTTTCTCCCGGACCCTGCCTAATCCCAAAGTGCTCACACAGACACACAGACACATACACACACACACACACACACACACACACACACACACACACACACACACACACACACACACACACACACACACACACACAAATAAAAAAAGAATTCAAAACCAAAATTAAGGGAAAAGGCAAGACGTTACTTCTTACGTTGGTGAAAACCTTTTATAATTTCGGTAAAAAATTCGAGGCGCAACTTATCCTCAGATACCTTTATAAAGGGTTAATCAATACCACCCATTCTTTGCACAGCAGTTCGTTTCAATTTATCTTAACGTAATCATATTTTTCCACAACAATTAAGGTTGACTAAAAAAATTTTCTTCATAAATGTACATAAAATAGTACTACAAATCTCCTTCACGTGGAAAATGAAATTGTTCACAGCACTTCCCGCTTCTCACACACATTTTGCATACGCATAATGTGGCTTACGTCACATCTTACCTATTACCCTTTTTAATGGCAAAACTAGTTACAAGAAACTAATTTTATAGTGGACACTTTTTTTTGCTCTAAAAGTTCTCAAAACATGCGTTCAATAAAGATATTCTCGCGATTAGAAAAAAATGACGGACTTGCTTTTAAAAGCGATATCGTCCCAGCTGTAAACCTTTTAAAATCAGTGGAAACCACCCACTTGGATTTTTTATTAGTATTTATTAAGGACTTTTCTAGAATAGAGCTAGCAGGTGTTTATAAAAATATTGATCTGTTAAGACACATTTATACAAGTCACTGTGCAAAAACTGGAGAGTTTATGTTCGACAGTTGATGAGGTATTAGACAATAAGTGTCTTTACGAATTCTTTGACCGCACTATAGACGAAAGCTGAAAAATAAATGGTCACCGCATTAGAAAGCGTAAAATAGCTAAACTGCTTCTTTAAAAAAATATTTTAAAAAATTAGTAATAAATAAATAGATAAATAAATAAATAAGTAAATATAATTTTAAAAATTAATAAAATAAAACGTATAATTAATTCACTAATTGAACAAGCAAATAAACTAATTTAATTTCAAAATTAAGCAATTATTGAAGAATAATCAATAAATTATAATCATTTGTGAAGGGGTCTGACAATATGAGTTACTTCGCGGATTCGAGGCCTAATGAAATAGATGCGTTACGCTTATAGGTTAAATTTTTACAATTTACAGGTATGAAATGATAAAAGGCTTATTATACTTACAGAATATGGCATCAATAGAGAAAAGTATTTACAAGTTTGACCCCAGGGTCGATTTTTGGCCAATGCCTCCTTTCGTGGAGTAACCATTTGGTCAACACACCCTCTACAGACCGAAGGGCTAGAACCCAAAATGGCCGCTGGATCGTAAAATTAAAGTAAAAGTAAAGTAAAGTAAAGTCAGCACACCTCACATAATTTGTGGGGGCTCTCGTGGCCTAGAGGTTAAGGTGTTGGCCTCTCATTCAAAGATCCCGGATTCGAATCCGGGTAGTGACCGAAAAATTTCATTCTTTGAATTTGTCTCCTTTCACCTCCTTTCCTGCTCTCTAGCAATGTTCTGTTGTCTGTTTTCGTCTCCTCCTTCTGCCCCCACCCGCTCATCTCCTTTGTCCCCCTCCTCTGGGCTCCTGACTCTTTCTACAGCCTTTTTACTGCTACTCCTTGGCTTCTTCTTTCTGCTGTCTTTCAGCCACACCCCTGATCTTTTGGTAGGAAAGATCTACACCTAGCCTTCTCGGACAAGGGCGAAAAATCTCGGAGGGCACGTGTGCAAGTTGCGCACGTTAAAGATCCCTTGGCGGTCTAAAATCGATAAGAGTAGGTTTCAGCCGCCACCCGGGCAAAATTCCAAATTTCCTACCAACTGAAAAAGTTTAATGTGTCCCGTGCGCTCATATGACCTTATGCAGTTGCGAGCGCCGTAAAACACTTACAAAAACAAAACAAACATAATTTGTTTGAAACAACCCCACGGCCGCTTTTAATCTTTGAAAAAACAGCCCGACCCCCGTCGTACTTACCCGGGGAGGGAGGGGGCGGGCTCTCAACGGTCGTCCAGGTGTAGGTGTCGTTGTCGTAGTCGTAGCCGTCGTCCGGGTAGTGGAACTTCTGCTCGGGTTCCGGCGGCATTTTGGGCGGGTACATCGGGTAGTAGGGCAACGGTTCTCCGTACTCGTCATACTCGTAGTCGGGGGTCATGGGGCGGCCGTCCTCGTCATATTCTGGGGGACAATTAATATTATAATAAATAGCATTAAATTTTGTGAGGTGTGCAGACAAAATGAGTTACTTCTCTGATTTTGACCGTACGGAAATTGATACATTAACTTAACAGGTGGAGTTTGAACAATTTCATCATCATCATCATTGCTTTTCTCACCCTGCACCAGGGTATAGGCCACGGACAAACACCTTCCACGTTTCTCTATCCTGGGCTAGCCTCTTGATGTTATTCCATGTCTTCCCACTTTTCCTGCTGATACAGAAGCTCCTCCGTCTCCCAAGATCGAAAAATAAAAAGCTGTGTTTGTCCGTGTTTCTGTAACTTACTGTTTTTTACTGGGTTGGGTAGATGGCCTTCCGCAAACTGGCACTTTTCGGGCGACCAGACCTATGCACTTTTAGTCGCCTCTTACGTCACGCAGTATCACGGCAGGTGTATTCTTTGCTCCCCCATAGTAAAATTATGGGCCCCCCCCCCCCCACCAGCAGGGGTGTTGAACAATTTGTAAATATGGAATAATAAAAGACACAGTAGATTTGAACAAAATAGCCTCGATTAAAAATCTACAAATGATACTATAAATCTGACCTCGGGGTCGATTTTCCGCCAATATTTCCATTCTTGGATTTCGAGAAAAAAGTAACTCATTTTGTCAGCACGTCTCACAATTGTATAGCGCATGCCCCCACTCGAAAACAAGCCCTAAGTATCATCATCATCATCATCATCGTCATCATCACCATCATCATCATCATCATCAGCATCAGCATCAGCATCAGCATCAGCATCAGCATCATCATCATAATCATTGCCTTTCTCACCCTGCACCATGGTATAGACCACGGACAAACACCTTCCACCTTTCTATATCATGGGCTAGCCTATTGATGTTATTCCATGTCTTCCCACTTTTCTGTACATCGATTTCTGTGGTTCTTCTCCATGCTCTATGCGCTCTACGCTATATTATAAATTTCTTTATTTCGCCGATCGCTTTTGTAGGCCGACACTTCTGTCTGTGTAATTTTAGTTTTCTTTATTTCAGGTCGTACTTCCGTTCGATACTATCATGCATTGTCGCGCAATACTGAGCCCTATTTTAAGTGTGCGACCCGTATAGATCTAGCCTCACGTTTTCTTTTTTTACTTGGTGCTAAATTCGACTGTGATCCTTTCGTTTGATGCCCATCATCGCTTTTTCTGGACTCCTTTGTCAAATTCTTTTTCTTGCTACTGGGAACAATCAACACGCTTCTGTCTCTGTAATTTTAGAAAATCCGCTAGGTTTGTCTATTATATTTTGGCAACTTGGAAACATATTATGACATGTGTCAGTTTTCTCTCAAGATTTATTGCTCCTTTCCAGTAGAGTGCAAATATAATAGGCCAATGACTTTAAGTTGATGTAAATGCACCAATCATTCCTTTCATCGAAAAGGGGCCCAGCTAGTATAATAATATACAGTTCTACATTCACTGAAAGAAAATAACAGCGTAAATCAATCAAGCAAAATATTGCTTACACTCTTTCTTACTAATAAGGGAAAAATGGAGACTTAAGCCAAGGTCAGAAGAACCTTTACTAATCAAACAAATTAATTACAGTGGAATTCCGAAAAAGTCAACACCTCGGGACTGAAAAAAGGGAGTAATATTACATTGGTTCATTGTCACTTTCATTGTCATTGTCACTTTTATTGTCATTGTCATTGTTATTGTCGTTGTCACTGTCATTTTCATTAACTTTTTCATTGTCATTATCATTGTTTTTGTCATTGTCATTGTCTTTATCATTTTCGTTATCATTGTTCTTGTAATTGTCATTAATATTATCATTGTTCTTGTAATTGTCATTGTAATTGTCATTATCATTGTCAATTTATTATCGTTGTCATTGTCATTTTCATTTTCATTGTCATTATCATTGTCATTGTCATTATCATTGAGATTGAGATGTTACTTCCCGTCTGAAAGATCGTCAACCGTTATTGTTAGCTCCTTTGCGTCTACTGGAGAAATCACGATTCTCGGAAAGAAAGTCACGATTTGTCATTGTTGAATTAAACCAAGGGGGATATTACCCCTAGTCACAAATTATAAGTGCTTGTCTTTACTTACGCTATAATATCCTTGGTGGTGGTGGTAATGCTGTTGTTGTTGTTGTTGTTGTTCTTGTTGTTCTTGTTGTTTTTGCTGTTATTGTTGTTGTTGCGGTGGTGGTGGTGATGATGCTGTTGTTGCTGTTGTTGTTGTTGTTGTTGTTGTTGTTGTTGTTGTTGTTGTTGTTGTTGTTTATTTTCAATAAAATTTCAAACTTAACGGCAAAATATCAAATTATGGGTTAAAACAGAACATGGAAGGCATGCCCTCCTGCCCTCTGTAATCACCCAGATATTCTAAACTTGGTTGTTGTTGTTGTTGC